TATTCGAGCTTACCACTCGGTCATGCGGTCATGTTGTCTTTGAATGAAAATTTTAAAACTATATAATAAATGAAAGACTTAATAAAATGGTAATAAATGCTATAGATCGAAATTAATGAGATGTTGCTGTCACACAGTTTTCAAGTAAAATATAATTTAACGTTACATAATTTATGCTGTTTCCACTGAATCTATATAAGTATTCATATATTTTTTATTTTAACTAATTTTTTCCTAATCTTAATTCTATATTTTAAAAAGAATGATAATTTATTAATTAAACTTTGTGATAAAATTGTCACAATTTGTGATAATGACGTCACTAATTATTTTAACGTAAAATCATTAGAAAGCAAATACTATTCTATTTCTGAATCTAATTTTTATCTTCAACAAAATAAAAACACATTTTCAATCTTAAACATTAATACTCAAGGCCTAAACAAAAACTTTGAAGATTTTAAACTTCTAATGCACGAATTAAATCACAATTTTAAAATAATCTGTTTTACTGAGACGTGGTGTAAATATGACGAGCATAATTTACAATTTGAATTGACAAATTACGCGACAAATTATCAACCACGAAACTTCCGTGCCGGTGTTTGCATTTTTATTCATAACTCCGTTAACTTTATACCACGTAATGACCTTGACGTGAATGAAAAATATTACGAGTCATGGTTAATGTTATTTATAGAGAACCAGCAGGTAATTTAAAAAATTTTAAAACTTGCTTACGTAATTTTTTAACAAAAGTTAATAAAAAGCAAAAGCATGTTTACATAGTCGGTGACATAAATATTTTTATCTTTTAAACCATGCGTCAAATGCGTTAAATGTTTTGTAAATATTCTTTAAGAAAATAATTTCATTCCAACAACAACAAAGCAAGAATCACAACAAGTTCCTCTACCCTACTGGATAACATAATTACTAATAATTTTTCTAATAGTTGCTTTAGTTCAGGTATAGTAAAGACTGACTTGACAGACCATTTCCCAACATTTCTTATAACAAAAAGCATAACCCTTGATAATATTCCCACAAAACATATTATTTTTAAGCGACAGATAAATGAAAACTCCGTACAACAATTTCGCAACCTAATTAACTTCGTTAGTTCTCCAATCACGTGATGCTAACAATGCTTATGAACTTTTCTAAGCGCAATTTTGTAAACATTACAATAAACCGTTCCCTGTCAAAAAGTTTTATACAAACTCAAAATCACTTCTATCGGATAACAAAACTAAAATCGTCAAGAAAAAAACAAAAACTTAAAAATTATAAAAATAAGCAAAATATAAAAACTATAAAAGTATATTTGAAAAAATCAAAAAATAATCTAAAAAATTATATTATTCGAAATAGCTAGAAAAAGCAAAAGGAAATACTCAACAAACTTGGAATGCTATTAAAGAAATAATTGGACAAAACAAATATAAAAATAACGCTCTGCCAAAAAGAAATTTCAATTGATATAAGTGAGTTGCGGACTGCATTGCTAAGCTTAAAAAGTAACAAAAGTGCAGGATCGGATAAAGTTAGCGTTCATATATTAAAGTTAGTCTATGATATGATTGAACCATCTTTGTTTCATATCTTAAATCAGTCACTTAAATAAGGTAAAGTTCCAAAAAATATGAAAATTGCTATAGTGACTCCAGTATTTAAGTCTGGAGATGAGTCAGAACCTTCTAATTACAGGCCTATATCTGTTTTGTCTTGTTTCTCGAAATTGCTTGAACGTATAATGTACAATAGGCTGTATAATCATTTATCTGAAAATAACATGTTATATAGTAAGCAATTGGTTTCAAAAAACAATATTCAACACATCACGCAATGGTAGAGTTAGTTAATCACTTATCTAATGCATTTAAAGAAGACTGTTTTACGTTCGGAGTATATATATATATATATATATATATATATATATATATATATATATATATATATATATATATATATATATATATATATATATATATATATATATATATATATATATATATATATATATATATATATATACATATATATATACATATATATATGTATATATATATATATATATATATATATATATATATATATATATATATATATATATATATATATATATATATATATATATATATATATATATATATATATATATATATATCAGTAAGAAGGTTAATTAGCATATTTCGAATGAGGTATCTATGACAGCGTTAGAGTTTATTTAAGGGTATTGTTTTGTTTATTAAAAATTTTTTTAATGAGGTATACTGCTTTCTGATTATCTTGGGCTTGTTTATGCTAATAATACCTATTTGGTTTTATTTCTTAAAATAAATTGATTAATATTTTTATGTTTCTATTAGAATTTTAATTTATTTTGTTTTCATGTTTTCTTTTGGTGGTACGGTAAGTGTTTTTATTTAGTTATTTTTATTTTGTTTGTTCAGTAAATCTATACTTTTTATATCATATCATCAAAAAAAATATTGGTGCTTTACAAATTTGGGGTTGGTTGGGTTTTGGCTATTTGTAGTGAGTCCTTTTTTACTGCAGTATGGAATAGGCGTAAGTCGCGGGGTAAAGCATAAGTGGCAATGACGTTTGTCTGACGGGATAAACTAGTTATAAATGCTGATCCTCATCGAAACGCCAGTAATAATAGACGCGACTCTGAGGAGATGTTTATTACTTATCACTACACTAATTATGTTTACACATTAGCATTAATATTTTTTTTCCATTATTAGTCCTTTCATTGTTGTTAGCATATTTTTAATTTGTTGAATGGTTTTTTGTTTTACAAATTGTTGACTGGTTATGTATTTCTTGTATTATATATTATATTTTAGTTCATATTGGTATTTATAAAACAATTTTTTTATTTTTTATTTATATATATATATATATATATATATTTTATTATTGTTTGTTTTTATTTTTTTTTTAATTTTTATTTTTATTATTTTTTTTTTTATTGTTATTATGGTTGAGTACTGTTTTGGTTGTATAGCTTGTCTTACTTATTTTTAAATATTCCTCTATTAATCTTTATTTTTGTCTTGACAACTGTCAAAATATGCTTTGTCTAATAAATAATTCTCCTTTATTCAATGTACTTCATTTCTTCCCTCAGGCGTTCACTGCTCGTGTGTGACCATTCGGCGAATTTTATATGCCAAAGTTTTTAAATAATAATGGTTATTACCAATAAATTTTTAACCTTTTTTTAATGATTTCAAGCATCACTTTCTCTTTTCTACAAATACTATCTTGATCGTTGCTCAAATATTTCAAGAAGACGTAAAGAAGAGGACTCAGTAAGAAGGTTAATTAGTATAGGAATGTCGACAGTACTGTGGTAGTTATTTGCAGTAAATAACTGAGTTATGTTGGAGTTAAAATTTATAAGCCACCGTGAGCCCCAATCTGTTACAGAAATAAGATCAGATTCAAGATTGGCTGCTTGTTCTAAACAATCGAAAAGAGAAGACTTTTTGTCAAGACAGGAGTATAAAGTTGAGTCATTAGCAAAAAGAGCTACTTTAGATGGAAGGTTTTCGGAAAGATCATTAATGTAGATAAGAAACAAAATAGGACCAAGGATAGAACCATGAGAAATAAAGAAGAGTGTTGGCCTTCGAGGATCACTTTACTAAAGCGGTTAGAAAGATTCGAATTAATAGTTTCAAAAACTTTCCCAGATACACCATATGAAACAAACTTATGGAGAAAACCTGCATGCCAAACTTTGTCAAAAACTTTAGATACGCCAAGAGCAATAGCCCTCCATCTAATGCACGATAAAATCTTTCAGTCACAGCAGTTAGCCAGTCAGATCAAGATATGACAGCAACAGGAGCTGGAGTGATTTGAATATCTAATCACAGGTTAACTTGTTTAATTGGAATGGAAGGAAGAGTATGGCGGTAAGATTTGAGAGTCGAATTAGAAGAAAAGTTCTTTACAAATAGTTCTGTATTATCCTTGGAAGAGGTAACAAGATCATCCCACGAAAAAAGATAAAATGTTAGACCTACCCTATTAACGACGCTGTTGAAGATTTTCCACAAGTCTCTAGAGCCTAACTTCTTAGGTAAGATACGAGATTTAGTGAACTGAGAATAATGGAGCTTAGCATCTGATAGCACCTTTTTACATCGATTTCTTGCAATAATAAATAGCCGTTTGTTCTCAAGAGAGTTGTTCTTTAAGAGATTTTGTTTTCAAGAGAAAAAAAATTTGAAAACAACATTTTGTTCTTTTGAAAAAAATGAAAAGATCATGATTAGAAAGCTGCACAAGTGAAAACCATAGAGTAGAATGCTTGACTTAGAAAAGACGAGACGGAATAAAAGCTTCCATTCCTGTCTGAATCCAGGTTATTCTTAATACATCATTGAATAAAACCACATTGTAATGCTAAAAATATGCCACACATGGACTGCTCTGATGCCATATCATAAAGCAGAGTGGTGCATATAGGGTCAGTGTACAAATAACATATATGACCAACATTAAAGTTTTTTTGCCGAGCTCTTACAAACAGCGTGATTCTCTCCGAAAATTCACGCTTCTCTCCAAGGAGCCCCACGATACCGAACTTTGTAAAGAGTATGTGCAATAAGAATAAGTAAATCTATACTTAAAAAGATCGGTTTACAAAGATATGTTTAGTGGCAAAAATTTCGTAAATAAGAAATACGTAGGCATTTTTATATCTTTTAATAATATTCCTCTGCGCGGGGCTTTGGGTGGCCGCTCCGCTTACCGGGCCCGAGATTACGGGCCTGATTAAGTGCTTATTTTTTAGTTGTTTTTATTGGTTGCTCTTTTTATGTAAATGTTCACCTCCAAACAAAATTTTCTATTTAAAAAAAAGTATATAAACTTTTAAAAAAAAATAAAAAAATCAACTCTCCTAACTATTTCATTTCATTCTATCAATCAGAAAAAATTAAATAAAACAGAAAGCATGTAAAACAAAGTCCTTATGACCCCGACGTGAATTGAACACGCAACCTTCTGATCTGGAGTCAGACGCGCTACCATTGCGCCACGGAGCCTTAACTCTTACTGCTATTTTATTTTATCTTATGTTACTTAATCAGTTAAAAATTAATCAAAAGAGAAAGAATGAAAAAAATGGTAGATGATAGAATCAAAAACCTATTCCGACACTAGAATTTTTGTGTAAATTGATGACCGGAATATACCAAAGTATGTGTTAGCCTTGATTTTTAAACACTTTTTAATACAAATTATTTTTATAACTTATTGCCTGACCGAAACACTTAGTAGATGTATGTACACATCCTGCATGTTCTACCTATTTAGTCAGTCAATGAATGTACACTCCTTGCCTGTTTTACATGTTTAAGTCAGACTATGTGTGCACACTTCCTAATTTTTATAATAAATAAAATTTTATAAACAATTTAACTTTTTATTGACAAAAATCGTAGACATAACGCATTGACAACAATCATAAACATAGCGCATAAAACTAGAGCTTAAAACTTTAAAATATAACACACAAAAAAATTTGCGGTGATCCGCGTCGCCAGGCAACAAGGCAAAACTATTTACCACAAAATAGCTAGAAATGAAGTAAATTATAAATATATACTTAGTTTTTTACTCCGGAATTATTTTAATCATAAATATATTTTCGGGTCATTAATTTACACAAAACTTTAAACGTCGATTCTATTAGCTACCGTAAAAGAGTACTTTTGACCCCGACGTGAATTGAACACGCAACCTTCTGATCTGGAGTCAGACGCGCTACCATTGCGCCACGGAGCCATATCAAACGAAACGAATATTTATTTATTATTCATTATTTTTTTAAATTAACTTCGCAACCGTTTTTCAAAACGCCTGAAGATCAAAAAATTTTAAATTGACTTTTTGATGAAATAAGCAAATATAGATGATAACAAACATTATTAAATAATTTTTAAAAAATTGTGAAAAAGTTCATTAAGATGACTAGTTTCAAAAAACTGATGCTTCAATCACGGGGCAATCATAGTCTAAGCGATAAAACATGCTATAAGAACCACGTTTGAACTCGATTTAGTTTTTAAACCTTGACTATTATAGTCAAGGTTTAAAAATGCGTACGCCTCACCGCCTCACCGCTGCGTTTTTTTAAACCTTAGTTACAGCTACAATTCTTATAAATTTTATAGAACTAAAATTAAACTTTACTGCAAAATTATAACTTTTATATTTCGTTTCACTGCTTTCACTCTTTGAATAAAACCATTGAAATTGTACACGTGACATAGTTTCAGTTACTTCTCTATCAAATGATGAAATAAGTCACAACTCATAAATGTGTGACTTTCCACTTTCCAAATATATCGAAAACATCACTAAACTCCATTTTTGTTTTGAGCGTAATAGTTTTCACACCAAATGGTGATTTCAGATTTATCCCGATATTCTTGCAACAAATAATATGTAGAAATTAGCTCTTCTTTGTACCGCCCAGCAATTTCTTCATGGCAAACAATTGAAACTATACTTTCCTCCGTTTTTCAATAGGCACAAATATTGCATTGTATGTTGTTAACCGCTGACAAAACATTGCTTCTTCAAAATTTCCCATTCTTGGTAGCATAATTACTTTTTCAAATGTCTGTCGCCAATATTATTTCTTGTGCAAAAACAGTTCAATCAGGATCAAGTCTCTATTTGTTTCTGGTGTGCCCGACCCTTTTCATGTGAATATTTCTTGTCATGCAATCTGTACAGTCTGGAGTTAATTTAGAATGATTCTTTTCTCAACAATGTGTAAAGAACTGAAGGCACGTGTAACACTCTTCCTTTGTTTGATAAAAATTCCGCAAAACATCTGGAGCTATAATAATTGTATATGTAAGATTGTAAATGGAGTTGTTTAATAGTTGTATATGTAATATTGTAACGGAGTATAATAGTTGCTCCAAGTATTATGCGGTCTTTTTGTTATATTTGAATGCGTGATTTAAAAATAGATGATTTTTGTGTAAAAGTTTATAAAAAGACCGCAAAACATCTGGAACTAGTTTCAAATATTGTGTGGTCTTTTAAAAAAGTCAAAATATTGTCTTTTAAAGAGAAAAAATTTACATACATCAATATATTTTTTAAAAACGTATATTTATTTATTTTTTTATTATGTTGATTTAGGTGCCTCAAGAAGTCCTTAAGGTCTTATCACAGAGCACGGCGGAAGAGCATTTAATAGGAAGTTCCCAACCGATGTCGCAAAACTAGCCCAGAGGTGGGGTTTGAACTACGGATCTTACGTTTCTGAGGCAAGTGCGTTACCACTGCGCCACGGCTGCTTTTTTTATACGGTTTGGATACGTAGCTAACTTTTTGGAAAAACTCATAGGGAAAGTAATTTACTTGTTATTGAGGTAATTTACTTGTTATTGTTTTATAAAACGCCACACAGAATGCTACTTTCATCTATAAAAAAGCCTGTCTACATTTATCTATAAAATCTATAAAAAAGCCTGCCTATGTTACAAAAAATAAAACACAAATACTTACTTTTTTAAATTAATCTTTTTTTTTTCAATCCATAATATAATTTAGATAAAGTTTATATATAAATATTTCAGTTGCAAATCTCTTGTAAAATTGCAAACTTTAAAATATATATCAAATAGTGTTTTTCTCGAAAAACGCAAAAAGTAAGTTAAGGCGTTTTAAAAAACAGCTGAAGACGATTACTTTACTGAGAGGAGTATTTCTTCATAAAATACCTCATCCTCAAAGAAATTTGGTTATTTACTTTATATCCGGACAGTACCAGTGTAACTCAACTCTCGATCAGGTTAATAAAATCTTCATCACAAATATAGAAACGCCAAGGATTCTCTTTATGACCCAAAGAAATTAAACAACCAAGAGGAGTTTATGACCATCCTAAGCAATACATGACAAATATGGGCATCAATATATGTCCTCGATTTTAATATAAAAAATGTTGGAATAACAAAAAAAACTTTCTGACCTGTCACTATGAAGAAAATCTTTAAACTTAGTGTAAGAAGATAAATTAGAGAGCAGGTACATGCAGTCAAAAAGAAAAACCATCCTCAACACCAGCAACAAGTTTCTGGAAAGATAGGTTTGATAGTCTCAATCATAAATTAGAGATATGGCTGAGCAAAGCCTCTATTTAGAAAAAAAACTTTCTGACGTGTCACTATAAAGAAAATCAAGCCTTATCTTGAAAAAATATTTATACGTATTACTCAGCTCTACAATTAAATACGTACAAAAGATGTTGCAGCAAAAGTAAAGAAAATAAAAATGAAATAAAGATAAAAATAAAGAGAAGCAGCAAAAGCTAACAGCTAAGGAGGAAGACTAAACGGAAAAGAAACCAATGAAAAATTTATTGAATATAAAAATAAATGTATTTGCAAACAAAGTGTCAAGCTCTTGGTCTAAAGTAATGTCCTATTTTAGGCCAACATTGAGGTACGGTTGTTTTTGCGGCACGTACCAAGCGGGCATTCATTCCAAGACGTCCATTCGACGTCTGTCGGACGTCGAATGGACGTCTGTTAGACTTCTTAGGATCTCCAATGCTTACTGGGTATACTTATAACAAAATTTTAAAAGTAACTAAAAACACTTTTGAAGACAAATTCTTTCTACGAAAATAAAGAAATATAAATGTTAAATACAATGAAATACACATATATATATATATTATATATTATATATATATATATATATATATATATATATATATATATATATATATATATATATATATTTGTTCAATAACAAAAAATGATTATCTACACTATATCGTAATAAAGTTCATAAAGTTAAAAAAACTGCTGATTTAAAAAATCCAAAATATCTTCATTGTTATCTGCAACGAGAGCCGAAAAATGATTTTAACATTTCTGCATTGGCGGAGGCAAACGAAAAGCAAATAAAAACATGTTTTTTCATCATTTACAGAACTGGTCATGCTTTCATAAATGATTCGACTCATTTACTTTACCACTGAACCCAAATCAAAACAACAGCACGCTGTTTTTAGCAAGTTTTTCTAATGCAAACAAAAAGAATATATTAATATAAATGTCAAAATAAAATAAATAAAAATTTCCCCATATGTATGGTCTCATAGGAAGCGAGAAATCAAGGGTGATGCCACAAAAAACCTGATGTATAGACATCAGTTTTTTTGCAGCAATAAAATTCTTCTTTATTAAAAATACATAGCAGTGCAAAAGAACAAGGAAGGAGAGATCTATAATTTTTTTTTAAATGCATTAAAATTTTTTTTAGATTAATATAAATAAAATATTGAAAACAAAATGAACAAATATAATATGAAACAACGAACTAAAAAACAATTATTTAAAAAAAATGTATAAACAAGAACTAATGTATAAAGTAGATCATCAGAGTCAAAAATAGTTTTCAACAAGACTCCATCTATGACTTCCTTCAAAATGGAAGATCAAAAAGTGCTCTAAATAAAGAAAATGTACAACGCATACCCGGATCCAGGATCACAAAACGTAGACGTTCAACGCTCTGACTTTAGTTATCGTTGAGACGAATTTAACAAACATTACCCTCGTTGCAATTTTTTTCATGCAAATTACAGTTTGTAAAAAAAATTTAAAATAACATTTTTAAATTTTAGCTTTTTTTGAATTTGCAATTGGTTTTGAGCAAAAAGCCGAAGAAATATTGAATTTTGTCACAAAGCTAATTTTTCATTAAATGGTTTTGTCATTAAACAAAACTCCAGAAAATCCTTAAAACACCTATAGGAGGCAAGTAAACCCTAAAAAGTGAACGGTTTGGTGTAGAGTATCATCTAAAAAGGATCATTGCTCTATATTTTTTGAGAATAAAGCGGGTGCTGCATTTACCATAAATAGTGCCTATTATCGTACAATGCTAAATTATTTTATGAGACAGTCAGGGTTAGGGTCTCTATAAAAACTTACTCTTTTGAAATAAAAATTTGTTAAATAAGATTGGCAGAGACAGGAGGGTTGGTATTTATAGAGCTAAAATATCGTGGATCCACAAACCGTTTCACCAGCTTGTTTAAGACAAGCTTCAAGTCCGAATTGTGACATTTATTGCCTTTCTCTTAAGCAGCAAAAAATATTATTTTTTTTGTTTTCAGAGAAATTCTGTTGCTTTTGCAGATTCATTTTAAACTAAGTTTGGCAGATTTTTTATTTTAAAATTGTGGAGTTTGTAGATTGTAGGTAATCTATATAGTTTTAAACTATTTGTTGTTCACTAAACTTTTAAATTTAGCGCTACGGCTTTTATGTGCGCTCACATGAGAAGTCCTGCATGCATAAACAACGTCCAAAACGAATTATTTGTGTACCATTCATTAAAAATGTTCTGAGGGACGTAGAAACTGATAATAATGTCCTGTGGAAAAAACACCAATCATTAATAATGTACTTAGGGAATTATTTGTGTAATAATCATTACAAAAAAAGAACAAGTTAAACGACTGATAAAAAATGCGTGAATCTCCCAATAAGCAGCAGATAGAATTTTGTTTTCAACATGGATCATCTCTACAGAGTTCATTAATTAGGTAAAACTTCAAATAATTAAAATATTGTCCAAAATTCTGACCACATTGTAATAAAAGTCTGAATATTATGCATCAAATAATATTTAAAATAAAACTGAAATTATTTTTGACAACAAGACCTAACATGACATACTTTTAAATATCTTTTCTTTTGATAAAAATAAAATAGTATTTGAGCAAAAAATTTGACATCACCCATATAAAATAAAAAGTTGCCGTTAAACACAAATGAAATAAGAAACGAAAAACTGAAAATGCATATTAAAAAGGTACAGAAAAATAAAATGTGTAAATTAAAACTTACGAACTAAATTCAGGATGACCTTGTACTGGAGTTTTTGTTTTAACACTTGGCGGCTTAAATTCCGCCGTCAAAACATTGCGATCATTTGCTTGTAAAACAGAAAGTGGTTTTGGTTCTCGATAACATTCAAGCGATAATCGCTTCTTCATTTGAAGTCGATGACGATGACTAAGTTTCTCTGTAGGCAGGACCGGAGTAGTCATATCCTTGGAAAAAAGAAAAAACATCTTATCAAAAAAATTAAAACTCCATGTGTCACTAAAACTCCCATAATAATAAAAACTAAAATATAATTTGAAAATTCTAAATAGTTACCATGGTAATGTTCTTATTTTGAAAATTAGATTTCGGAGTTAAGTTACCCAGAGTAAAGTTTGTAGAGTTAGCTGTTTTCGAATGGTTATCTAGGTAAGTTCGCAATTCACAAAGAAATGAAGGATGAAGCTAAAAAAATAAATTAAATTAAAAAAAATAGTAATAATAAAAGATAAATTTTGTTTCATTTATGATATGCTTTAAGAATATATATATAAAAATAATAATATATAATAACAAACAACCATCATTAATATTGAAATAATTTAGAAATATTTAAACATTACGTTTTACTCAAAACTAAAGAAAATTAGTTTAAAGAAAAGTATTAAAGAAAATACTTTGTTTAAAAACTAAAATTTGTTTTTATATATAAAAAACAAAAAGATCCTGAGCTTTGTTTGCCTGCAAATAAGAGCGTCACAGCGCACACTTTTGAATTCTCGATTAAATACCGCACACTTGTTTTCTCGATTAAAAACATATTAACATGTAGCATGGAGTTGTTGTGCTTATTCTAATGAAATACTTTTCTTATTATGTGATAAATGTCAAGTATTCTTTAAATTTTTTAATAAAATTTAATATGAATATAAAAAAATTAAGTGAGCCTGTAGAACCTTAACTATAAATATTAGGTAAAATTACTTGAGTAATATTTATGTTTAAAGTAAACTTAAATATATACTTTTAAAAAATTTAATATACTCGTGCAAAGCAATTTTTTTAAATTCAAGATGAGTCATTATAACTCAAGTTTATTTATCAAATTAAGATGGTGTTTTTAAATATTATTTAATGTGATTTATAAATATTTTTTATTATAGACATCTTTTATAGCTGATAAAATTGATTTAGTGATTGTTTTTTTGATGTGTGACCTATTAGAGTCAACTTATAAATATAACTTATGTTAAATATTAAAATTAAGAATCCGATAAATGATGATGAATAAAAGCATGATAACATATGTTACAAATGAATGTTAAAAAAGGTGACAAAAAAGATAGTGGCCTTACATTCTATACAATAAAAAAAAAAATTTGAACTAACTTCAATAAAGTCTTTGCATCTTTTTACTGCCTTGCTCATGTAAGGGGGATTTACATTACAAGATACATTTGACAAGTCTGAATAAATACAAAAAACATTTTTTGCAGGATATGACTTATCATTATGATCCCAAGTTAAACTTGAAAAAGAAACCAAGTGACTTTCTTTAACAATGTTTTCCACTGAATAAGCCTAAAAAAAGTTCACAAAAATGTCATGAGTCTGTAAATTAAGTTAATATATTATAATATATATAAAAAAAACTCATGTCTGTTTGACCTTGTAAATTAAGAGAACATTTTCAACAAAAACAAAAGAGCAAGCTAAACTTAAGCTTCTGTGAGTAACTTTTAAAACCAGAAAAATTGTTGAAATTTATCTAAAGATAAAATAGCAACTCACAATTTCCAATACAAGAAGTTATAAGGAAAAGGAGGGGGAAGCAGGAGTAGAGGCCAGTAGAGTAATTGTTTTTAATTTCTCTCAACACTTCAACTGTATGTGAACAGATGAATTTCCTTATAATAAAGAAAACGTTTAAAAAAGTTTTTAATAAAATTTATTTATTAAAAATAAAATTTTTTTTAATTTTAAAAAAAGTTCCAAAGCCATTGACTGAATTATAAAATTTTCAAATTTTGTGTGAAATTGTAAATCAACTCAATCTTCCATAGGTGTGTTTATATATATATATATATATATATTTATATATATATATTAGGGTGTCTCAAAAATACAACTTTTTCACAAAACCTAAAGGTTCGAAACACATCCTGTTTATATACCCTAAATAAAAGGAAAATGCAAAATTTTAGGTCTCTAAACCTTCAGGAAGTGTTTGATGTAGATTTTGAAAATCTCTAATATTTAAATTATAAAACAATAAAACAGTTTATTTCGGTTCAAAATATTTTTTGTTTAATTAAAGTTAAAAAAAAAAATATAATGTAAAGTATTTTTGCTGAGGAGTTGTGTTGCTCTCTTTCATTCTATTACCCGCGCTTTTTCTATTCATTTTAGCAACCACCATGATGTCTCCACCATTTTTCTCTGACTTTATAACTATTTCTAATTTCTTTGCCCTTGTTTTTGATGGCATGAAATTTATCTGTGGGTTTTTGATTTTGACAAAACAATATCTGCCCTGCATGCTTCAGAATTGAAGAAAGAATTGCTGTATGAACTCTTGCACCAAGATAAAATCTTGTAGCGACTTCACTTGTTGCTTTTATTAATCCGTCCCTGATATTGACAGGTGCAGCTAATCAGATCTTTTTTTTTTTCTTAATGGCACAAGAAATTTTTTTCTTTTCCACTAGATACATTGAAAAATGAATCATTAGATAAATTTGATTCAAAGTATATTGATTCTGTATCAGTTTCAGAGGCAATATGATTTTCAAGCTAATTTTCTATGAACATTTCAAGTTTTTTATCTTTTTCATTCCTATGTTTGATTCTCTTTCCATAAATTATGTCAATATCCTCAGTTACATTTATATCTTTTCTTTCGCTTAACATGAACTCTTCCTCAACTTTCTTTGTCGTCCAAGGGACATAAAAATTAACTTTTTATATAGAAATTTGATTCTAAACTGCTTGCGGTTTTGTTTTCTTATTAAAAACTAATCTTTATTCATTAACAATGTGTTTTTTTAAATTGGCTAATATGGGTTGAGAAATTGTTAAATTGGCTTGTGGGTTTGTATCTTTTTTTAAAACCTTTTTTTAATACTGTCTTTTTTAAATAATTTTTTTTTAAATAAAATTGAAAAATATAATATTAATATAAAAATATATTACATATGTGGGAGGACAAGGGTGACAATGCAAATAAAATATTTGTACAGTATTTGTATGTTATTTTACTTTTATATAAAATTTTTTATCCTTTTAAAAAATATATTCCACTCCTTTAATACAAGAGGCTTAATAAGCGTGAACTGGCATAAGTGCAAACTAGCACAAGTGCGCGGCATTGCAAAAACTGGCACAAGTGCAAAGTGGCATAAGTAGGAAGTATAATAAGTGGTGTCATGTCAATATTTGCAATTTTATTCGGCGCACTTATGCAAGTTCACACATTTTACACTTATGCTAATGTTTGCAAATTCTTTTGGCTCACTTTTGCCAGTTCGCTCTTGTGCCAGTTTTTGTAACTGCTTTGCACTTATGCCAATTCGCATTTATGCCAGTTTGTACTTAAGCCATTCGCACATTTGCCAGTTCGCACTTATGAAATTTGCGCTTATTCAGTCGTCCCCTTTAACATTTATTAATAAACAAATCTTTTCATTTTAAAAATAAGCTAATATTACTTGTGGGTTTGTAATTTTTTTTTAAATGTACTTTGTTCTCTTTTAAAAATATTTTTTTTTATTTTTAAAGTCGGCTAAGATTGCTTGTGGGTTTGTATTTCTTTTTAAATCTTTTTTTAAATACTTTTCTTTTGAAAACTTTTTTTTTTAATAAAATTGAAAAAGTAACTTATTAAGTTATCTTAACTTTGTTTAATATTAACATAAAAATATACTACATCTGTGGGAGGATGGGGGTTGCAATACAAATGAAATATTTGTACTTTATGTTATTTTTTTTTAAATAAAAATTTTTTATCTTTTAAAAAAAAATAGTCCGCTCCTTTAATCAGCAAATTTCTTTAGGATAAAAAGCTCGACTTATTACACATGTCTAGATAAACGGATTGCTAAATATTGTAACTCTCTGTAAAGACTAAAAAGTAGAAAATAAAATATAGGAAAAACATTTGCTAAAAATATAATCTTTTTGTACTAAAAAGTAGAAAATAAACTTTTTAATTTAAATTTAATAGTTCCATAAACTAAAGATCGACAGGTATGTTTCTAAATAAACATTGCACAGACCTGTCAATCCTTAGTTTACGGAACTATTAAATTTAAATTAAAAAGTTTATTTTCTACTTTTTAGTACAAAAAGATTATATTTTTAGCAAATGTTTTTCCTATATTTTATTTCTAGTTAACTTTTAGTCGGTTAAGAATTAAATGTCCTCTTTAATGGCATCAGGTGATCTGTTGCAGTCAGCTTTGATTTTCATTACAATATTTCTGCAGCCTATGTCAAAAAGTTCATTTGAAGTTTTTTTACCAACGGTTTCGAGAATTGAAAGATTTTCTTTTAAAGAGAAATTCAATCTAATATAAAAAAAAAAAGACATTTTACACATTTATTAAAAGATGGTCGAAGTAACTTACTTTTTAAGCTTACTTGTTGAGCTTTTCAATTTTTAAGCTTACTTGTTGAGCTTTTCAATTTTTAAGCTTACTTGTTGAGCTTTTCAATTTTTAAGCTTACTTGTTGAGCTTTTCAATTTTTAAGCTTACTTGTTGAGCTTTTCAATTTTTAAGCTTACTTGTTGAGCTTTTCAATTTTCAAGCTTACTTGTTGAGCTTTTCAATCTTGTTTCTAATGGTCCAACTTTTTATCAATATGTCTTTTTGAAAACCTGCTCTGCACCAGATATTTATTACTTCTTTGACAAGTAAGTCTTTAATACTTTCTCACATTTTGCACCAGAAAGTTGATATTATAGCTGATACCCTCCTTTATGCATGGAGCAAATAATATTTGATTTTGTTGACTTAACCTTAATTACTTTAAGAATATAATATGGCAATATCTTCTTAAAATCTTCTTAAAATGTCACCATTTGTTGGCAACAATTTATTTATATATATCTAAAAAACATAAACTATATTGTTGTATTGATTAAGTTAATGTATTTTATATAATCTCTGTAATAATATTAAAAAGTAATACTTGCTTATTTATAAACTGAAAATAAATAAATGAGAAAGAGTTGGAAATGTATCATTTACGTAGAAAACCATAAAAATGCAATAATTCTTGTTTTTCAATTTTTACACCTAACACTTTTAAGGGTTCTTAAACCCTTAAATTTAGTAAAATTACTTATTTTTATGCATATAACCAGGATATATTTCGAACCCCCAAAATTTTTTTTTGGGACAATCATATATATATATATACTTGGCCAGTGCTTTTGCGCTCATTTACACAAATGCAAATACTTTAGCAAGACCTTAAAAAAACGCTTACCAAAAAAATATAAAGGTTTTTTTTAAACTCCAACAAATTTTTTTGTTCATTGAATGCATTGATGAAAAATTGTGATACCACTTTCATGTACAAATTGTTTTATTTAGATTTTTTTTTTTTACTTAAATAAAACTTTCTTTATGCAGTTTTTATTTTAATTTTTTTATAAGTTAAATAAAAAGTTTGTTTTGCCGTTTTTATGTTAACTTCTTTTTTAGAATTTAAATAAAATGTTTATTTTGCCTTCTTTATTTAATTTATTCAGAAATTATTTAAAGCATTTTTTTTTAATTCTTTTTTTAAATTAAAATAAAAATAGCAAATGTGTGGTGGCATTACATTTCAAACAGAGAAGACTGATATATATATATATAAATATATATAAATATATTTATAAATATAAATATATATATAAATACATATATAAGCATATATATATATAAGCATATATATATATAAGTATATATATATATATATATATATATATATATATATATATATATATATATATATATATATATATATATATATATATGGGAATCACGCTTAAAAAAAAGTATGGAAATTCCATAGTATTTCAATTTTTATGGTTATTCACCCATGGAAATTACGTTTCCCATGGGAAAACCATGGTTTACTCATAGAATTCCTTCCCTCTTTAAATTTTTTATAATTTTAAAATTTGGGGATGTCATTTAATACAATAGTGGTAATAAAAACAATTTAACAAAATGTTAAATTGAAAAATTAAAATAAAAGTAAAAAAAGTTATAAATTATGCTTATATAATTCTTAGTTATGACAATATAGTTATAAATTATGCTAATATAATTCTTAATTATGACAATATATCATTGAATTATGCTAATCTTCTTTTAATCTTGTTTACAAAAAAAAAATTTTCTTAGTATTTCAAATAAATCTTTAATTAAAAACTTGTTTAACTATGAAATCAATTGTTTACAAAAACTTTGCATTAATACAAAGCTACAAAAAACCTTACATGTAGTAGAACCTTACATAATATAATCAGTAATCAATTGAATTGAACCAATTGATTACACAGTTATAACAAGTTTATATTAAAATTTATTTAAAATGCTGTGTGTACACATCGTGTATACACATTATGATGCACAAAAGTTTGGTAAGTACAAAAGTTTGGTAAAATACCTTTAAACCACCATGAAATTTGACTATAAGAAATTGTTTTGACAAATCATCACAAAGATAAACTGTTTGGTCAACTCTAAAAGAAGATAACAATTCTAAACAAAAAATGCTTTTTAAAAATTTTTCAAAATGTTCCATCTTAATAAAAAAAAAAAAAATTGTAAATTTTCATAAAGATTAAAGTAAAATTGTTTCATAAAGATTAAATTAAAAAAAGATTAAAAAAAATTGTAAAATTGTACTTACCCAAGCATACAGTTTTCAGGTTCAATCTTTACAGCAAAGCCTACAATATCAACTTCATTGTAAGGTATTTTATTCATTCTGCATAAATCAGCTATACTGTATGCCTAATAAAAGTTTTGAAGACAAAAATTAAAAAAGAAAAATTGAGATATTTTTATTATATATTAACATTAGTCTTTTTATGTACTGTGGTTTATGAAACATCAAACATTTTTATTTTGTATAGTAAACGCCTTTTTTTATTGCGACACATTATGCTAAACACCAGGCTTTAATAAATAATTGTTATATAATTTTCAGAAAGCCTTTGTTATGTACTCAAACATAAACATAGGTCTCAGTGGGTTTTGTAATTTATAAAGTACCAGCCAAGATATACTTGTATTCCAAAATATGTTATCTCATTATAAATTATCTATTGTTATAAATCCACTGGACCTTTTCAAACCAATTATAATTAAAATAAGTCATTAAAATTATTTCAGTTTTTATTACCACTATTGTATTTAAATGACATCCCCAAATTTTAAAATTATAATAAATTTAAAGAGGGAAGGAATTCTATGAGTAAACCATGGTTTTCCCATGGGAAACGTAATTTCCATGGATGAATAACCATGAAAATTTAAATACTATGGAATTTCCATGCTTTTTTTTCATAGCTTATGTTGCACCATGAGTTTAACAAATGCACTTTTAAACATACCGTCATAACTCGTAGAGTTACAATCATTTGTAATATGAGTAAATAATATTTTCTGCATTCTTCTGTTTTTCTGTATTAAATAAGACAATAAATTATATATTTGTTATAATGCATCACATTTAATATGATGCATAATGCATCACATTTAATATCAAACTAAACATACAGGCATAAACAACTAGAAATGTTTGCTAGAATATTTGCTTTTGAAAATTTGCTTACAATAGCTAGAATATGATAAATGTATGCATTTTATAATGCATCATAATATAATATTATCAGAGATGTTGGTTTTGAGGCTTAAATCTTGGCCCTGAGACATATATTTAATTATATATTATTTATGCATATATTTATTCTAGCTATTGCCAATAGCTTTGCGTACTCTGCATAACTTGCAATAGTGTAGCAAGTATTTCAAGTGAATCAGTTTGATTTTTAAAGTTTATTTGGTTTAATACAAATATTTTAGCTTTAATGTACATTAGATAACTAGTGTATTAGATAATCTCAGATAAGCAGTGTATTGGATTAGATTAGATAACTAATGATTTGATAAGCTTAGATAAGTATTGGATAAGATTAGATAACTAATGTACAAAAGATAACTAGTACTTTCAGTTTGCATAAATATGTTTGAACCCGACAAGAAATTTTAATGTGGGCCATATATGGCATTTGCATGCTAACCATATGCTTACCACTCTCCTTTATGGGATGGCGTTGATGCGTCCCATATGTGGCTATAATGTTTATCCCACTAAAACCACACTAAATAAGAACACCATGCTTCATTTGTGCGTGAAAGTTTCATGTGGCCCACGAGTGGGAAGCACATGTTAGCCATATATTTACCACTCTCCTTTATGGGATGGCGTTAGTGCGTTTTATATGTGGCTTTAATGTTTATTCCACTAAAAACACACTAAATAAGAGCTAACGCCACACTTCGATTGCATGAAGAAATCATATTTATTCCTTCACTCTTTTATCTATCGAATTATCATATCCTATCAGTTTTCCCTATACGTAACCAAAAAAACACTATATAAAAAAAATTATAATAAGAAGAATTAAAAAACAAATATACTAAATATAAAAAATATACCAAATCGCAATACATTAACGCAAATTTGTATTGATAATTATATTGGGTTTGATCCAAAATTATAGGTTGATGTTTTAAATACATTTTCGCTTGTGGGTTTACAAAATCTTAAAAGCGTACTAACAATTTTAAACTTTTTAAAGATCATTCAATGTATTTAAGAACGGGATTTTAAAGTAACTTAATTAAACTTGTAAGAATGAACTACGGTAGTTAATCATCAAAAAACTAACTTTATGTACTAAACTATAAACTTTATGTATTAAACCATAAAACTATAATATGCAAAATATGAAAGTTGCAATTCCCGATTCTATCTTGTTAATGTTGCAACTTATTTGGCTTTAAATAAATACTTAACAAACAAAAGCTCTGATATATATTTTTTGAATTTAAAACCAAGCATTTTTTTGGGGGGCAATTTTTTTTTTGGGGGATTTTCCTCAGGGGATTATTTAGGATTTTTTCCAGGTAGGTTTTTTCTTAAAACCTATTTTTAAAGTTCAAAAAATTTAAATTAATGCAGAAAATATAATACGCCTTAATTAAAAAGTGTGTTTGTTTACTTATTTTTAGTGACGCATTACTATACAATTTATTTGCGGTTGCGAAAATTTGCACTATTTTAAAATATAATGTTGTTTAAGTATAACTATAAATTTGTATTCGTTAAGTATAACTCTGATTTACAAATTTTATGGAAAATTTATTTAGAACAACAATTCTCTAATATATTCATTACAAAACCGCTCAAAAATTTTTTTTTTTTAACTTTTTTACAAAATTATAAACATTTACAGATTTTTTAAATATTATTACAATAAGTAGAACACACCAGGTTTTTTTATTTTTATTTTATATATTTGCACTTTTTCTGTTATATATATTTATTTTTATCGCTCAAACATATTAACAACAGTTATAAATTGAAAATTATCAAAACGGTAAGCCACATGATATCATGGAATATTCTAGAGTTTACAATGCGTTGCGATAGAATTATTACAATTGGTTAAAATTTAAAATTTAAAATGAGGCAAGATTGTGAGTTTTATATGTATGGCCCATATGATAGCCACATCAAATTTAGCAAGTATTTATTTAAGGATTATGCCACATTAAGTGGAATAGTTATGTGAACCGCATCAAGTGGGCCACACTTATCTTCATCAAATACGTCATTCATCAACTGTAATATATTTTTGCACTTTTAATCCACACGAAAGCACTATGACCATATGTGGGCCACATATACCTTTCTTGTCGGGAAGTTAAAACACTTTATTGTATGGTAAATGTTATATCATTTATAACATTTCAACTTGTAATGATGTTCTAAGAACAACTTAGTTAAAGAAGGAAAACTACGGTAATGTTTTAAAATATCAGAACAGGAAGTTAATTAATGCACAAGATTTTACTTCACAGTTAATCATATAAAGGCAATGTTTATAAATAATACACTATTATTTATTGTAAAACAATTATTTTCATTTGCTTATATTCAACTAATGTTTATATTTAACTAAATAGCTTGTCTTAAGTAAAAATAAATTGATTTAAGCACACACTTTAATATTTATTATGTTTTAGATTACTATACTTAATAAATCACATATTTATTATACTTATTATGTTTTAAATAGTAAAGTAAAAATATAATAAATTTTTGAAATTAATAGTGTGCGAATAAGTCCTTTTATTTTATACTTATCATTTTATTTAAATCACTACATTATAAGCAGGCAAGTTTGAATGGCAATAGAAATAATGTTTTACATCTTTAAGATAGATCCGACAAAGAAGAAGTAAGCTTTTTTTAAATTATAATTTATAAGTAATACAATATTTTTTGCTGCCTTGTTCTATATAAATGTTACCATAACATACAGGTAACATTTATATATATATATAGGTTTATCCTGCTACTGGTATAGGTATATATATATAGGTACTTATATATATAGGTTATATATAGTATATATATATACCTATATATAGATATAGTATATATATATATGTAGATATATATACCTATATAGTATATATATATGTATATATATATATATATATATATATATATATATATATATATATATATATATATGTAGATATATATACCTATATATAGATATAGTATATATATATATCTATATATAGATATAGTATATATATAGATATAGTATATATATATATATAGTATATATATATATATATATATATATATATATATATATATATATATATATATATATATATATATATATATATATATATATATATATATATATATATATATATATATATATATATAAGTATATATATAGTATATATATACCTATATATAGATATAGTATATATATATATATATACCTATATATAGATAGTTATATATAGGTATATATATATAGGTTATATATACAGGTTATATATATATATATATAGGTTATATATATAGGTTATATAAATAGGTTATAGTATAGGTATATATATAGGTTATATATATAGCTTATATATAAAGGTTATATATATAGGTAACCTTTATATAGGTTATATATATAGGTTATATATATACTGGTATATACACTACCGACAAAAAGTTTGAGGCAGGTACTAAATTTTTTAAAATTGCTAAATAAATAAACTTTTTCTAATATGATTTGTACTTTAATGATAATGAATACAAAAACTAATAAACATTAAACATTTTTTTATTATAAATTCTTAATTATAATTGTTATTTTAATTAAATTTTTGATTCGTCAAAATATCCTCCTTTATTCTTTATTACAGCGGCACAAATCTTTGGCATTCTATTGATCAATTTACGTAGTATTTCGGGTTGTATTGCATTCCATTGTTCTTCCAACATGTTCCAAAGGCTTTCTCGAGAAGATGGTTGCGTTTCTCGCACTTTTCTGTCAAGTTCTTCCCATAACAACTCGATTGGATTGAGATCCGGCGATTGTGGTGGCCAATCCATGATTTTTAGTACTTCTTGTGTTTGGAGGTCTTCTAAATACGACTTACAAATTTTGCTAGTATGCTTTGGATCATTATCATGCATAAAAACATATTGATCCGGAAATAATCTCTCACCAGACGGCAGTACTTGTTGTTCCAAAATTTCTCTATAAATTTCTTTCGTCATTATTCCTTCAATTCTGTGGATCAATCCAACATTTTCTCCACCAAAACATCCCCAAACCATGACAGAGCCACCTCCATGTTTGACAGTCGGCACTAAACATTCTTCAGAATACCTTTCTCCAGCATATCTTCGGACGAAA